GAGAGAGAGAGAGAGAGAGAGAGAGAGAGAGAGAGAGAGAGAGAAGAGAGAGAGAGAGAGAGAGAGAGAGAGAGAGAGAGAGCGAGAGAGAGAAAGCGCGCGCTAGAGAGAGTTTGGCCCGTGGGCACTTCGATCCGCCGCGGTGACGGAGGCGCGGAATGTACGGCGGTTTACCGTTGCCGCTGCCGCCGCCGCCGCCGCAGCCGTGTGGTTGTAGTCGGCACATACTCGTGGACGATACATGCCTACATGCCGTGATCGTCGTACGTTCTCCTGACGAGCGAGCGAGAGAAGAACAGCCATGGCTAACCCAGCACTGGACTTCATCGACAACCCCATCTACGCGTGGGATGCTGAGGATGAGGAGGCTGACGATAAGCTAACGAGAGACGCAGAGAAGGACGAGGATGCTGCTGAGGATGAGGATGGGGAGGATGAGGATGAAGAAGCTGGTACAGTTATGCACACCTGCGGCGATTGTTTGCCTGGGTACGTAGCTCACCTGCGCGATCTCAATCAACTGCGATATAGCGCACCTGCAAGCTGGCGGCTTGGCCGTTAATCTTAACGTCTAGCATGCAGGTGCTGTACGTGCGATGTGCGAAGCTTGGTGAGTAAACAGAGAAGGGGAGGATGGAGAGAGAGAATGAGAGAGACAGAGAGAGAGAGAAAGAGAAAAAGAGAGATAGAGAGAAAGCGAACAAAATAGCGAGAGAGGGAGAGAGAGAGAGAGAGGGAATGAATGAATCCATGGCTAGTTTGCTAGTGCGTACTGCTGGATATCATAGTGACCAGTGCAACCAGTTATAGCCACCGCTACGTGGTTTATGTTCGGGATAAATAATGCAAATCATGTTCCCATGCTAGATTGCTACCACGCACCGTCAGTAGCTATCATAAACACGCACACACACGCACGCATGCACGCACGCGCATACACATGGAGGCACGCATACGCACGCACGCACGCACACACAGACACGCGCACGCACACACACACGCACGCACACACGCACACGCACACACGCACGCGCGCGCACCTGCCCTCACCCTTACACCACCATCATCATCAGCAGCAGCAGCAGTAGCAGCAGCAGCAGCAGTAGCAGCAGCAGCAGCAGCAGTAGCAGCAGCAGCAGCAGCGCTATCTCGCCTCTTTGTGTGGAATTCTTTCGCGCAAAAAACTGCCTTTTGAGTCTTTAGAATATCGTGGCGTCGTTGTTGCGTGGAAGCGTGACGTTATCGAGTCTGGGCGCGACCGCCTGGGTAAACATACCTGTAATTCGTACTAACACGGACCACGTATACGTGCGACGTTTGCACCTGGATTAGATCTACCTGTAATTCACTGTATTGGCTCACCTGGAATATATCTACCTGTAATTCACTGTATTGGCTCACCTGGATTAGATCTACCTGTAATTCACTGTATTGCCTCACCTGGATTATATCTACCTGTAATTTACTGTATTGGCTCACCTTGATTAGATCTACCTGTAATTCACTGTATTGGCTCACCTGGATTATATCTACCTGTAATTCACTGTATTTGCTCACCTGGAATATAATATCTACCTGTAATTCATTGTATTGGCTCACCTGGATTATATCTACCTGTAATTAACTGTATTGGCTCACCTGGATTATATCTACCTGTAATTCACTGTATTGGCTCACCTGGAATATATCTACCTGTAATTCACTGTATTGGCTCACCTGGAATATAATATCTACCTGTAATTCATTGTATTGGCTCACCTGGATTATATCTACCTGTAATTAACTGTATTGGCTCACCTGGATTATTTATATCTACCTGTAATTAACTGTATTGGCTCACCTGGATTATATCTACCTGTAATTAACTGTATTGGCTCACCTGGACTATTCACCTGGCAGCACTTTGAAATTGCGCCATCAACTTGAACAACATATCACGCGCAACAATAGGCGGGTGATGTGTTTGCGTGATGGGGAAGCGAACAGATGTAAAGCTGCGCGGTGTTGCGGTGTTTTTGTCGTGGTGGTGATGGTGGTTGACTCGCAGCTACTCGGCTAGATGCCAGCCGATGTGTGGCGTGCCAACAACGACAATAGCAGCAGCAGTAGGAGTATTAGCAGCAGCATCAGCAGCAGCAGCAGCAGCAACAACAGCAGCAACAACAGTAGGAGTATTAGCAGCAGCAACAACAGTAGGAGTATCAGCAGCAGCAGCAACATCAGCATCAACAGTAGGAGTATCAGCAGCAGCAGCAGCAGCAGTAACAGCAGCAACAGCAGTAGGAGTATCAGCAGCAGCAGCAGCAGCAACAACTACAGTAGGAGTATCAGCAGTAGCAGCAGCAGCAGCAGTAGGGGTATCACCACCAGCAGCAGTAGCAGTAGTAGTAGTAGGAGTATCAGCAGCAGCAGCAGCAGCAGCAGCAGCAGCAGCAGCAGCAGCAACAGCATTAGTAGCAATAGTAGTAGTAGTTGTGGTGGCGGTGGCGGCGGCGGCGGGCGGCGGCGGCGGCGGCGGCGGCGGCAGCAGCAGAATTACCAGTAAAAACTGCATCAGCAATAACATCAGCATCAGCGTCATCATCACCTGCCCCTGATATTATCGGTAACAGATGCGACGTGGTACGGGGTCCAACGGCTGCTGCCTGCATCCATACAAACCTGCTATATAATGAGCATGCTCACTGAAGCCTAGATAGAGCTAGTGGGACCTCCTATATGCCACTACAGGAGGATCAAAGGGCGTAGCGGAGTACAGAATTGATGAGCACCGCACGAACCGATGACTGCATAGTTACACATTGCCACTAAAAATATATTGTCTTTTTTTAAAGAAAACATTACCGATTTTCGTATTTAATTAACGTTTCACATTTCCCTTCCCACCTCCCCCTCTCTTTCTCTCCCCCTCTCTTTCCTTTCGTCTTTTTTTCGATCTCTTTCTCGTTCTCTCTCCTGTATCTTTTACCTTCTCTCTCTCTCTCTCTCGCTTTCTCTCTCGCTGTTTCTGTTTCTTTTTCCCCGCTCTCGCGGTCTCTCTCTCTCTCTCTCTCTCTCTCTCTCTCTCTTTCTTCCCCCTCTCGCGCACTCGCTCTTTCTCTCTCTCTTTCTGTTTCTCTTTCCCCTCTCTCGCGGTCTCTCTCTCTCTCTCTTTCTTTCTTCCCTCTCTCGCGCACTCTCTCTCTCGCTCTCTCTCTCTCTCTTTCTGTTTCTTTTTCACCTCTCGCGGTCTCTTTCTCTCTTTCTTCCTTTCCCCTCTCGCGCACTCTCTCCCTCTTCCTCTCCCTCCGTGACAAGCGTTCGCGTCTGTCGTCATGGTAACCAACATCTTTGTTACCTGTCTTCGTGCGCTATCGACGCGGCGGCGCGGGTTGTTTCCCGCATATAGTCGGATCATCGGCTAATTCGCAGGTGCCGTGAGAGCGCTCGAGCCGCCACAGGTGCCGTGGCCTAGTTAAAACCCTAATTACGGGTCTATATGCATCGCTACTAGCCCCCCACCCCACGTCACCGTGCATCCCCGCCTTTACTAGCTAATGGTCTCCTTCTGTGCGCTTGAGACGGACGCGCAAGTGGGCCGCGCGCCGACGGTCGTCGTCGTCATCGTCATCGTCGTCTGCGGTAGTAGGTCAGTATCACTGTTGTCGTCGTCATCGTCATCGTCGTCTGTCGTCAACGTCACGTCGGACGTGACGGATGCGCCGCTAATGTCGCGTGCGCGACACGAACCGTCGGCGGCTTTTTGTCTTTGATCTTCTGACCGATCGCTTTGTTTAGCGTTGATCTTTTGGTGCTAAACGCATAAATCCCGCGGCGGTGTTCGTTAGTACCTTTCGAGAGACACGAAAAAAACAAAACAATTATCTGGTGTCGGTGTTTTACGGGTTTAATGCGACGTTGATGTTGTCGCTGCAGAATTGTCACGCGACGTAGGAGGTTGTGTCGCCGTGTCACCGAACTGCGTAGATGGCGACGCTGTTATTATATGCGCAATTGTCAACGCAATGAGAGAAGTTGTCGCCGAGGTGTAGATGGTTTGAGTGGACGCTGATGTTACTATACGAAATTATATTGTCACATGTTGTAGAAAGTTGTCACCGAGGTGTAGATGACGCTTCGGTCACTCTACGGGATTGTCACGCGACATTGTTTTTTTGTCGCAGTGTCTGTGCCTGGTTCACGGGGCACAGGTAACAGGATATATATATGATTTCATGTATATATTCTTGTGTATATATATATATACCTCTATAAAGACGAGCATTGAATTAGTGTGATGAAACTCTCGCTATTGCTACCTTCAAACTAGTACGATCTGTTACGCATGCCACTCACTATAGTGCTCTTAGACTAATGACCATAGATCACCATGGTTGATGACCAGTGGTTATTCGGTAATGGCTATAATGATTCGGGCCTGCGAGCTTGAGCTGAATACCTAGCTTTCCCTCAATCAGGGGTTACGTGATCGTAATTGCTTCACGCGTCTGCCGTTCGTTCAACCCTGCCTGCTGCGTCGTCGCATGTTACGCTACTGGTGCGCTACCTACCGTCCGTCACCTGTGATGCTCCGAAACGACGAATGCGTCGCCTGCCCGCAATTGTCACTTCGCATTGTAGAAGGTTGTGTGCTGGATGTCACCAAGTTACGTTTAACTATCGGGAATTGTCACACACTCACATTGAAAACGCAACGCACGCACGCACCAACGCAACGCACGTACCTCAACTCACGCACGCACCCGCACGCAACACGCACACGCAAACACACACACACACACGCGCGCACGTCCAGCCACACAGCGCACCGCACTACGCACACCACAGCACACACACACGCAAACGCACGACACACGCACAACACACGCAACGCCACCACGCACACACACACACGCACGCACGCACGCACGCACGCGCACACACACACACACACACACACAACACACACACAACACACACACACACATCGTAGTAGGTGTATCACGCGCGCCACCGATCTCTATAGAGGACGTTCTACTGCGAGTGTTATCTCCTCCCAGCTCAACTAGGCCTCCCTTTCCTCGCGCGTTATTACTCTCATCACGCTATAGCTGTACCAGGTAAAAGTCGACGGCCAACAGGTGGGTGCGCGTACCGCTCTAGGTCGCTCGCGATGCCGTCACGATGGAGGGGCGGGGGGAGGAAGGGGCAGGTAGGGTAGCGAGATTACGGTAAGTGGGCCGGCCTATCTCTCCAGCGTCCCCCGCTCCGCAAGCGACCCCGCTCGCGCATCAAAGCGCCCATAGATTGCGAAGCTCGGAGAATCTGAAGGCGAGTATGAGAGAGAGAGAGAGAGAGGAGCGAAAGAAAGAAAGAGGAGAGAGAGAGAGAGAGAGGGCGAGAGAGAGAGAGACAGTATGCGCATTGTGCGCAGGTGCGCGCGGAGTGGACGTCTACTGATTCGCTAACGAGGCAGGTGAATTCGCTGCGTTTTCATGTACAGGTACAACACGTGAGATTAACTCTGGCTACAGGTATTACAACAGGTGAGATGAGCTCTTTGGGCGGGTGCACAGGTGTGCTGCGGCTTCTGTACAGGTACACAGGTGCCTGGTGGGTGTTAATAAGTAGCCGATGAGTGAGGCATCGTGTCCGCTCGGTGCACGGGTGACACAGTCTGCGACCCGTAGTGGTGGTGGTGGTGTGGTAGTGGTGGCTGCGTGGTGCTCGCACTGTCCCACTGCGCGTACACTGCTCCACCTAATTCCGATCGTATAGCGTGCAGCTGATGCTCAGCGTGCGTGCTGTGGCCCTCCCTCTGTGTGTGTGTCGTGTGTGTGTGTGTGTGTGTGTGTGTGTGTCTTGTGTGTGTGTCGTTGCTGTGTGTGTGTTGTGTTGTGTCGGCGGCGCGTCGCGGGGTGCGTGCGTGCGTGCGTGCGTGTGGTGACTTTCTCGCTCTCTCTATCTCTCTCTCTCTCTAACATCTATCCTCTTCTCTCTAAGACTTCTCTATCTCTCTCTCTTAAGACCTCTATCTCTCTCTCGTTAAGCCACTCTAGACTCTCTATCTCTCCTCTCTTTCTTCTTCCACTTCTCTGTCGGGTCACGCTCTCTTCAATAACTTGTTTCTGTCTATAATCTCTGCGCTCTCTCATAATGTCGTTGTGTGTGTGTGTGTGTGTGTGTGTGTGTGTGTGTTTGTGCGTGCGTGCGTGCGTGCGTGCGTGCGTGCGTGGGTGTGTGCATGCTCGCGATGTATCTCTGTCTCTTAACTGTGTCATTTCTCTTTCCGCAGTAGTATATATGCGAACTGAGGTCGACGCGGAAGGCGTAGGTTGTGAGAAGCGGGGAGTAGGCTGGGAGGGAGAAGGCGGAGAGGGCGGCGGGAGGGGAGAAGGTGGGGGAGGTGACTGGGGGAGACGCGGGGCGTGAGGAATGCGCGTCATCATTTCGATGCTGTGTCATCATTGCGATGCTGCCGTCATCATTGGCGATGTGCGTCATCATTGCGATGCTGCGTCATCATGGCGTCTGTCTCTCGGTTGCAGGCTTAGCTGCATTGCGGATTATGTTTGTCATGTTACATGATGAGTAGCTAGTACTGGATGGTGGGGGTGGGGACGCCACTGAGGGGGTGCCTCGCTGATAGTGCGCGATGCTCACCACGGAAAAGAGTGTCTCATTACAGATTAGCGCAAGCACTTCTCTGTACATATATTGGAAGCACTTATAATAGTGAAGATATCGCAACGGAAATATATATATAACTATAATATATATATTATATATATGTATAATATATATATATATATATATAATATATATATATATGTATGTATAAATATATATATTATTGTTATGTATAATATGTTATATATATATATATATATATATATATATTATATATATATATACAGCTATCGTTGAGCTCCTCTTTATATCAGATATCACAAACACACACAACACACACAGACACAACACACACACACACACACACACACACACACATCACACACACACACACACACACACACACACACACAACACACACACACACACACACACACACACACACACACACACCGTACCACGCTAAACGCACACACGCACGCACGGCACGCAAGGACATGCAGATGCAGATGTCAGTCGATAATATCTGTACAAATGTTCGGAAGTCAGGGGGATGTGGACAGATATCAGAATGACCTTATGCAGATATTTGAAGGACTTTGATGCAAATATCGGAAGGATTTTATGTAGATGTCAGACGATCTTCATGCAGATATCTGAAGAGGTTTCTGAAGTGGTTATTTCAAGAGGAGTTTATGCGTTTACGAGTGAGTTATTTATCAGATGAAGTTCGTACGCGTATCAGAAGGTGTTATACAGACATGAAAACCTACTTTAGCTGCGATACACCCACAGCTCGAACACTCCTACAAACGCCCGAGGTTATATATACAACATTGATATCGCACTTGCTGTTTATATTGACAACTACTGGTTTATCATCGGCGTGCCTGCGTCTACGCTGCATGTAACACGTACATGCTTCTATGCGAGGTTATGCTGAAGGATACACGATGGGCGTTGCTGGTTGTTGCTTTTGCCCGTGTTCGCCTGTGTCGGCTATCGGGCCTGTATCACGTATCGCGGATCTGCTTTACGTATCGCGAATCTGGTCTACGTATCGCGAATCTGCTCTACGTATCGCGAATCTGCATCACGTATCGCGAATCTGCTCTACGTATCGCGAATCTGCTCTACGTATCGCGAATCTGCTCTACGTATCGCGAATCTGCATCACGTATCGCGAATCTGCATCACGTATCGCGAATCTGCTTGACATGTCACGGGTCTGCATTAGCCAGGCGATATGTATCAGTACGTCTTCTTATACTTAGTACTATATACTGATACTCGTTATACGCTACTATACAGTGTAGAAGTCTCTCACGATGTTTATCTAGTGTTCTCACTTTCACACGTAGCGCGTATATGTCGCGGGCGTACATGTACGCTTCGATGGTTTCCTCGTTATAATTAGTCGCAGCGCCTCAATACAGAAGATGATAATCTGAAAAAATAAGGTTTGACAGCAGATAGTAGCCGTACTCACCACGGACTGTATGTTCTCCGTAAATAAGGCGGCGCCCTTGTTTTTTTTCTCCGTTTGTACCTCTCAGATTTCCCCGTATTTCGTAAAGCCGTACTCACCATCAGCATTGGTTTTGTATATATCGTAGGATATTCCGCCGAGGTGGATATATTTACCGTACAGTAGCTGAGGGATATAAGCTAGAATACTTACTGTCTTTGCTACATCGACCTTCAGCTAGTATATAGGGCTCAAGGTGGTTGTTTGTGGGCCTTTTGGTCCTGTGAGCCGCAAAGCACGGGTAACGCGTCTGCTGATAGAAGTGGCGGTGAATCGTCATGACCGCATATTGCCGTGTGTTGCCGCGTGTTGCTGCATGTTGCCGCATGTTGCCGTGTCCTCCGTGCAGCGCCGGTAATACATCTATGACCTCCGCCTTGTGGCGATGTTTTTGTTGTTGTTGTTGTGACGTATGACGTATGTTGCCGCGTGTTGCCGTGTCGTGTGGTTCATTACAGCTGCGGGTAATACACGTATATGATTCATTAGTAACCCTAGCCTTGTGGTCGTAAGTTGTGCTGTGACATGGACTCGTGCGCGCGGGCGTGTGTGTGTGTGAACGTGCGCGTGCGTGCGTGCGTGCGTGGGTGCGGGCGTGCGCGTGTGTGCGCGTGCGCGTGTGCGTGCGCGTGCGTGCGTGCGTTGACAAATTGACAAGGTGAAACGTGCGAGCGAGCGGACACTCTCTATCGTCATAGTTCCGTGACCCTGTGAACCCTAGGTTCGAGATGCTAGGCTAGAGATGGTCATCCTAGCCGTCCGCCGTCGCCGCGCGCCCGTGCGACGGACGGCGCTGGCGACAGTCTAAACTTCCACTCATTACGTTTTCGTCTAATGTAATGAACTTGCTTTTGGGTTGTGGGTGAGCGTGGGTCGGGGGAGGTTAATGTTAGA